CTAAACTAACTTTCATTTTCCAGCAAGGCTCTTAATTCACTGCTGACAGTATTGCTAATTTGTCTGTGTCCCTTGTGTAAGCTCTTTGGCCTAAGAAGTCTATTCAACTTTTTCCCTTAGAATTATTTGTAAATTATTGCTATTTTCTTTAAATTCCAAAGTTATATTTTGTCTGTGATTTTTTTTTTTTTTTTTTTTGTACCAGCCATCTGGTACAAAACTAAGCATCTCAGTATTGTGCTGTTTGTTGCTTTGCCTTTACAGATTTTTCAGGCACTAGAAATTTATCAGTACTGTTCCCACCCACAACAAATTGAGAGGGAGATTTTGTATAATGCTGATTTCAGTTACACTGATGTAAGATAATGAATGTACAGAGACACACACGGGTGTCTAAATGCCCATGTTAGTCAACAGGTATTTGACTAATATGCCCCAAGAGGTGTTGGATTCTTACACTGTACGGTATTTTGTTGTGCCCAAGCTGCTGCTTCAAAAGAATGAATGTGTCCCAAATATTTTGTGCCACTATCTTCTAGCACTGGTTTGGTGTCTAGGGAATCTCAAAAGGCAGGAGCTGCTTGTGTTTAGGCAACTGCGTATCAAATTCAGGGTTAGCTATAATATCTATAATACTTTTGACACCATTTTTATGTCTTCTGAAAAGTTACTGAGAGAAGACCAAGTCCAAATAAACAGGATTCTTTTTGGTGGCAAGTTTAATGCTTTCACCTTATTTGAAAATGAACCTTCAGTCCTGAACTCGTCTGTGTCAATTGAAAACGGAATTTTCACTTCTATCTCTTTTATGTAAAATGTCACAGCTGGCACAGCTGTTCTTGGAGCATATGTATGTATATCACATACGTGTTCCTACTGAGGGCTTTGAGGTTTTTAAGACTTGACTTGACTTTAGTGGAAAAAAATTGTAGGCTTTTGCATATAGATTAATGATCTATAGTGCAAAAGGAATAGTGATACAAAGACTCTCAGTTTTTATGAAAGCTGGATTTATAATTTATAGAAGGTGTTTTTTAACTTGAACAAACAATTTCTACTTTATTTGTACCAGTGATTCTCATGTTTCTGTGAATGTCCCTTTGAATCTGCTTCGTTCCAGCTTTCCATTAAACAAACACACAGACAATGTGTTCACTTTGCTCTGAAATCACATTACAAGATCTAGCTCTGAGCTAAATATGCAGTTTTGTAAGCTGAAAACTCATCTGCCATTCTCCATTCATCTTGTGAATTTTGAAATTCAGTTCAGCCAGGAAATTATCCTCCTGTACTTCTCCTACTCAGTTAGAAGGAGAAGGAAGGGAAATTGCATTTCAGAGATCTAAAATGTGAAATAAAGTCTTATTTACATAGAATTATGTACAACAGGAAGTCATACAAACTTTTTGCTTTTTTTTAGAGAAGAAATAAAAGGATAAACTTTTAAAGACATTTTTTAGCTTGGTGAATTGTTTCAGCTACCCAGGAAGCTTATAAGCAATCTGGGAATGCTACACCATTTACCAAAAGCTGATTTTGCTAGAACTGCCTTGAGCACTAAAAGTCAAATGCTTGATAAAGGATCCATGTATGACAGAGACCTAGAATTCTGTTTACTTCTATACTAAACATTACCAGCTGGCTCATTGGGCATCTGCTCAAATGTCTTTTGGCAAGAGGGCACAGCAATTACTCTCTTGTATCTAACCCGGCGAATAATTTTAGCTCTGTTTATTATTCTTAGGAAGCTCTGACTGATTTAAAGAAGAAATCAGATATACACATTGCCTTCTTTGTTTTGAAAAGGTTCTATTAGCTCCTTTTTACCAGTGTGGAAATCCCCCCATTAAATTTTGTGCTAAGTTTTTAAGACTGAAGCTCATTTGGAAACAGGATTATTAGTTCTTTCAGTTCAAATCAAGATAAAATTCTGCATATGTGAAATTGGATAGTCCATTTTATGGGATTTATCAAATTTAGTTTGGGCTTTGAAAGGTCTGAGCCAAATAGTCTCAGAGTTTTATAGGATAATTTCTCTTCTTGTTTAGTATGTTTTGTCAAAAAAACTCCTTGTAGCTCATTTTGTCCCTTAGAATGATATGTTCTTAGTGGAATTAGGTAAAATTCCCATTTTTCAGTCACTTGCCTCTGTTAAATGATTCTTCTAAAGCACTTGTTAATTTTGTATAAAGACTGTCTATCTTTGCTGTACTCATTGAGTCCAATCTACCAGAACACCTCAGGCATATGTTTTGGGTTCTGTAAAGGTTATTTTGTCCTGCAAATGTTGATTTCTAGTAAAGCATTCCTGAAATTCTCTGTTCAGCTCATGAACTATTTAGTATTACTTTTCATAGTCCAAATCATTCAAATTATTCTTTTATTTACATAGCCTGTTATATACTTTCAAGTTCATAGCTAAGTACTTAGTATGGAGAACGGAATTTTTATTATTTAGAGATATTATAAAACTAGCTGCAAAATGTATTAGAACATGCCTTGTTTTTTAAAGTTTATTGCTGTAACTGGAAATAAACCTTTAAAAGTCTTGGAATTTTTCAGCTATTTTTCTTGAGAAAGAGAAAAAAAGTGTCTACCTCTGCAATGGGGAATAAAACAATATATTTGCTACATTTTCATGTAACAATTCTAGAAGAACAGATTTTAGCATAAAGTCTGGAGGCTGCAATCTTCAAATACAGAGATGAAAGCTTCTGAAAGCTGAAATCTGAATCTCAAATGTATGATTGTGATAGCAGTTACTGAAATTTGTGACCTAATTGATGAGGTTGTGACAACAGTTCTCTAGTAACCAAGAGGATTGTTTTTTCCTTAAATAAGTCTTTGGAAATTTGTAAATATAACTTATGAATAGTCACAAGTCTTAGTTTCTTTTCCTTAGGGATATCAGGGAACAGCAGGAACTCCGGGTATCCCAGGAACTCCAGGGGTTCAAGTAAGTTTCTGTTTCACTCTTAGAATTTGAAAATCCGAGATGAATCCCGCCAACTGTCTCCCAATATCCGTTGTTTATAATTGAGAGTTGAGGTGAGGGGAATGAAAAGGGCTCAAAAGATGGCATGAAGTCAGGGGCCATCCTTGGGTGAATTGCTTTGGTTCTCACATGGCTTTGGGGTTTGTAAGTACGCTGACAATTAGGCTGTAAATGTTATCGTTGCTAGGTAAGGCCTGCAGGAGCAGGACTCAGCTGGAGCTTAGAAATTTTCATCCTGATCCAGAAGCCAAATAGTTCCTTCTGTTTTACTCTGAATCAGTACCAGTGATCTGAAGCCTCGTTGTGGTGATTGATTACCCACAATTCACATGTCCAAAAGGTTTCAGATAAAGCTCAGACTGATGGAGGAGAAATCTTTTTCTTTCTTCATTGTATTAATTTAGTAGCCCTTAGTGGGGCAGTTATGGGAAACCAGTGCTGTATTTTACTTGTGGCATGATCCAGTCTGGCTGGATAGTCAAGGATTTACTAATTTGTTGAATTAACTATCTGAGATCATGGTGGGGCCAAGAGCAAGCCTGCAACATGGCATATGCAAAGACTGACAACTGAAAGGAGGAGAACATCTCTAGACTAGTACAGGCCACGTGATGTCCTTTTTTCCTGGATGGTCCTTGGTTAGAGCAAAAAATTGTTTTGGTGTCCCCCAGTCATGGGTTATGATAGTGTGCCATATTCATACACGCTGGATGCTTGAATCTGCTTTTGTATCCAGTTACCAAAATATTGTGATCAACCAGCTGACACATCAGTCCCCAGGTCATGTTGTATTACATTTCTGTGTCTCATTCTGTAGCAGATTGTGTTAGTATCTGAGCTGGTTTTCATTTTTTCTCTCTTAGGGACCACGTGGCTTACCAGGCATCAAGGGAGAGCCAGGGAAAGATGGGACTAAGGTAACCAAAAAAAAAAAAAGAGTAATAGATCAAAAGATTTTACTCTTACCATTTATCATTTTTGGTTGTACAGTTAATAGTATCAATATTTTCACGTTTTCACTTGAGGCTTCTGTGAGAATTATTAATAAAGAAGGAATAAGAATCCTAAATTTAGAATGTTACTTCAATTCTAAATCACGTCTGCTTTATTTAACAAAGTTTATATGGGCTTTAGCCTCTGCCAGTAACACCTTTATTGCAATGAATAATTTATATTTAGAAAGCATACCTAAATATGAGTACCTGGAAGCACAATACAGACATCTGTCAGAATGGTTTCTTTCTATCTCTTTTCACTATTTTTCTCTTTAAGTGAGCATCCAGATGAGCTAGGTAGGATGTTCTGGATGGCACTTTATATCAGAAATCACTGACTAATTGAAACTAAAGCTTTTTGTGGAAAAATTCTAGCTGAGGTGTAACCAGTAGCTTGGAGCTGCAGACAGATGTGGAAGCTTATATATCACTCCCTTCTGGTAATCAGGATAAACTTGAATCTGGATCTCCTCCAGATCTCTCTCTGCCCTATGTTTAGAAAAGTTCTAAGTTCATTGTGATAAAAATGTGTTTTGTTTTTCCTTTACTAAAACTTCAAAGTATTTTTTGCAAAACAAACATTTGTTTTCCAAACAGATTTTAATGTAGATTTTCCTTCTTCTAAGGTTCTCAGTATTAAAAGCAGGTCCTTAAATTCATCACTATTCAGCAGAATTCTCAAATGCGTGATTAGAGCTAAAAAACATACTTATGTGTTCTGTGCTTTAGGCATCTTAATCTAATTGATCAGTAAGTATTGGGCCATGCAGAAAGTAACATACTGATGATGAAAAACTCTATTCTCCTGGCAGTGCAGGGTTGTGACAGATAGAATATTTCCTAATGCTCAGTCCAGCCTTGTTTGAAATGTGCCAAGAAGTAGGGCTTCCACCACAGCTTTAGGAAACTTCTTCCATTGTAAAATAGGTTTTGCCATTAGAATTTTTTTCCTCATGATTCAGCCCAAATTTTCATCCCTTAATTTCATCCCGTTACTTGTAAAGTTTCTGTAGCAACTAATTTAAAACTATTTCCATTGCCAAGTGTTTTAGTTTATTCAATAATTGAATCACCACTTCTGAGCAGAAATTGAGGCTCCATTCTTTTTCATTAAGACGCAATGGATGCATGAAGTGTTTATTTTAGAAGCGTTGCTGATTTTTTAAGCTCTATCCCATTGCCTGTTTTCAATACTTTTTCTTTTTTTTTAAATATTTTGATAGCATTAACTCACAAACTATCGTTCCTGTGGTCGTGTTCCTATCTTCTGTGAATGTGTGACAGACCTCTCCAATGTGCTTAGACATGAATGGTTTTGATAAATACCACTGAGGCGTGTTTTCTTTTAACCTTTGTCTTAGAACTAGAAATAATACAGAAAAAAACTTCCTGAGCATAATTTACTATTCCTCTGTGATTGAAATATAGTAACCAAATTGAAATATATTGCTCTATATAAAGTTAGATCTTAACAGAGAGAAAACATTGTGATTGTTCAAAAATGATTTGGTGATTGGCTCTTTGTCCTGAGTGAAGTAGATCCTATTTACTGAAACAAGCAACTAAGCTTGTTTTTATTGTTTCAAGTCACATAGTGCTAAGTTAAAATTTGGCCTTTTGGTGTGATTGCTTAAGGGAGCGTGCAGACAAATTGTTGGATAAATATCTTCAGTACCAATAGTGAAAGTTTTCGAATTCCTGATATCTGACACCTGTGAGGGCAATAAAAAGAACTGATGTGGCTTGTGTTTTCAATTGCCAACTGCTTTTACCAAAGTGGATTCTTTCTTCCACTGAAATGAGAACTCAGTTGTCAAAGTGCCCAAGTTGTTTTATCAGTGTATTTTTTTTTTATTATTTTTTAGAGAAAATAGTTAATACCTTATTTTTTAATACTTTCCTCATCCAGAGTAAGCTGGTGAGACATTTAATCAGGTCAGTAGATCTTTGATTTTGCCAGTAAGAGCTAGGAGCAAAGCCATCCCAGAATGAGGGAGTTTCCTTATTCTCCAGGAATTAGAAGTGGATGGTAGAAGTATCACAGCTCCTACAGAGATTTTAAAAACTCTTTTCAAAGCTTTTTTCCCTCTTGTCAAAGCTAAATTGCTACTTTTGATTCTCCATAAGCCTTATTGAGAGATTACAGTAAAATTTATTCTAAAATATTTAGTGATTGTTTAATTTTTTTCTTTTATGTATTGAATCTCATTTAAAGTTCAACAAACTCTCGTCAGTCAGTGTACCTATGTTATGTAGTTGATATGGAGATATATAACATCTCTCCACTATTTGTTGATCATTGAGAATATGTGGTGTTGTAGTATATTACTACTATTTTAGATATAAGCATTTAAAATGTTTGTTCTTTTAGGGTGACCGTGGACTACCTGGTTTTCCTGGATTACATGGGATGCCAGCGCCGAAGGTCGAAATTAAATATTTCTTGTTACAGTATTCATATGTTTCAGCTTATGTTATAGTCTCATTTAAAGGAAGAATAAGTTTATTAACAATATTATGTCAAGGCATTTGATGAACTACATAAAATAAATAAAAACTAAAATAAATAAAAACTACATAAAATAAATAGGTATGATGCTGAAATTGAAGGAAGATACATGCCATGAGACTTCATTACATGTATATGAAGCAATGAAAACGACCTGTTTTTTTGTTTTTGTTCTGCTCTATGGGATTCTATATTAATTAGAACTTTGATTTTATTATGACTTAGAACCTTCTTCATCATAAATAATGTGTCAAAAAATACATATACAATTTTCTTGAAGTTGTTTGAGTGACAGCATTTTGAAGGATAGTTCTGATCTAACCCAATGAGTTTGTTTCATCTGTGTGTACCCCAAAACATTATCAACTGTATGTTTTGATCTTCTGTGTTAGTACTCAACTGAATTTACTTCTTAGTTTTTCCGAATTCGTGTTTTAAACTTTACAAATAAAGTCTTCTGAAGAGTGCAGCCCTTTTCAAAGAGCTGAATTTTCACTTAGGTACCTGCCTGTATTGAAGCAACCAGAAACTCAAAAGTGCTTCCATTCAAAATAGAAGCATTAAGCCTGCAAGTTGTGGATTGTCTCACCACCAGCATTGGACATTCTAGGCTTCTACCCCAGGAGAGGGGTATTGGAAAATTCAATATTTGCATTTACTGTCTTCTTTTAATGTCAGATGGAGCTCTTTGCCGGCTTCATTTTATGTGTGCTATACATGTGTCTATATATAACTACTTCTATTTTAAAAATTAACTTACTTGTACACATTTTATCTAGGGAGAAAGAGGCCCTAAAGGAGATCAAGGAGTGCCAGGAATATATGGAAAAAAGGTGAGTAAATTTATAATCATAAAGCAAAATCTTACTGGTATCTGTGGTGGGGTGACCTTGTCTGGCTGCCTGATGCCCCCCAGCCACTTTCTCATTCCCCCTCAGCAGTGCAGGAGAGAAAAGATAAAAAAGCTTCTGGGTCCAGGTAAGGACAGGGAGATCACCTACCAATTACTGTCATGGGCAAAACAGGCTCAACTCGGGGAAAATTAATTTAATTTATTGCCAGTTAAAATAGGTTTGCATAGTAAGAAACAAAGACAAAAACTAAAACACCTTCCTCCTACCCTGCATTTTCCCAGGCTCAACTTCACTCCTTCATGAGATGGGGAATTGGGAGGAGGGTGGAGTGGTCAGTCCATAACAATTCTTCTCTGTTCTCTTCCCTCCTCACACTTCTGCCCTGCTCCAGCGTGGGTCCTTCCCATGGGCTGCAATCCTTCAGGATAAACCTGCTTCTGCATAGGGTTTCCATGGACTGCAGATTGACTACCACAGCTCCACCATGGTCCTCTCCATGAGATTCTTTGCTCTAATGGCTGGAGCACCTCCTCCCCTACTTCTTCACTGACCCTGGTGTCTGCAGAGTTGTTTCTCTCATTTTTCCCCTCACTCCTTACTTTGCCTGTGTCATGTTTTTGCCCTTTCTTAAATAGATTTCCCCCAAGGCATCGCCATCTTGGCTGCTGGGCTTATCTGTGCGCTGTGGTGGGTCAGTTGGAGTTGGCTGGAACTGTGTCCTCTTCTCACAGAGGCCACCCTGCAGCCCCTGCTGCCAGCATCAGAGCACCTGCACCCAATACAGTATCATTTCTATTTTTATATTAGATGTATTCACAGGGAATTTAATTCTTCAGTCCTAACTGAGAAAAATTTCCACCAGAGTTACTGGATACGCTTATGTCTAGTAATATTGAACTCATACTCTGCTTATTTGGATATTTTGACAACTCCTTAATCCTTCTGTTAATGGATCGATGTAATTCATTTTAACATAACACAAGATGCTTATATTTTTTGCACATGTATGGAGTGAGGCTGATAGCTGCCTGGAAGGGAGATGTTGTTTTAATCCTCTATTTATATAAAGCAGGATGTGCTTGTATATAAATATTTATATTTCAGAGACCATATTTTAGTCATCCAAAGTAACAGTTACATTTTCACCTGTCCGTATATTTTCTTCCTGTATTTATTGGTCTAGAGTTTTAAGCAATTTGAAAGAGGGTCTGCATTCACATTTCTGTATTTTAGAGCATATTTGTGTTTCTGTAACAGGGAACAGTTATTAATTACTGATAGTTATTAATCACTGCCTGTGTTAAGAAAAGAACAGATCTTTCATATGTCTTCAAAATAAGAAGTAACATATATGAATTATAGATTAAATATACTGAATTTTCAGCATAAACATTGAGCACTACTTACTTTTCGTTTGCCGTATTTCTCAGGGTTCA